CGAATTCAATTTTCGTCTTCCGAAACTAAAGAATATCCTTTTAAATTTGTGTGAAAATAAGTTTCAGTTTGTTTATATTTTGTAGTTATAATAAATAAAACACAAGGACAAACATCCTAAATATTGAACTATATTTACCACAATATATTTTCTTACACGAATAACTATATGTTGCGCTTTCAAGAGAGATATCAATATCAACAACAAGAGTTCTGATTATGACAGAGTAATCAAAGCATGAAGGAAATATATACAAAACAAACACCGTCTATAAAGAAGTATTCGGTAAGATATCATCGCATTAAATACCTTTAAACTACATTACATAATTATCTACTTAATATGACTAAAATTGATCATTTATGTAAGTTCTGATGATATCCTTTCATTTTGAATGCACGTATTATGGTAATGTAATAATATTTTTCGCCATTTAGATGATTGTTATAGTATGATATATAAAATTTTTCTTATTAATTAAATTTATTATTCCTTCATATAAATAAATATTTAAACCATCATGTATCATTATTAACGTGCAACACACGTTTATAGATACTAATATAGTAAAATTTATAAAAGTGGTATCACTTTAAATAAATTAACTTAACTTTTCCAACAAATAAACTTAATTAGGGAGTAATTTGAGAATATAAGGTTGCAACTTGCATATCATAACCAATTGGACTTATTTATCGAAACTCTCAAAAACCCTCTGAGAAGTAGAACCAAAGTCACTGTGTGTGTGTGTGAGAGAGAGAGAGATGGCAAAAGATAGTTGTCTAGCGAGAATAACTGCTGGGGTTGCTGTAGGCGGTGCAGTTGGTGGCGCTGTTGGTAATAAACCCTAAAACCCCTTTTCAATATTTTTTTTTTTCAAAAAAAAAAACCCTACTACCCCCTTTTTTATTTCTCAATACTTGTTGATTCTGTTTAATCTTCGAATTTGTATTTATTATACGAGAAATATTTGATGGGTTATTTCTGTTTATTGTTGGTTAGATATATCTGTTTCTTTTATGTTTTGGAGCAAAGAATTAATCAAAAAGTTGTAGTTAAGCACCTTTAAGTGTAAAAATCATATATTTTCAGTTTTCGGGGAACTGGGTAAGTGTTATTTTTTTATTATTAAATTTGCTCGATGATCAGAGGCGGGAGCTAGGATTTGAACTTATGGGTTTGGGATTATAATCCTTTTACGTTACTGAGTTCTGAATTATTAATTTGTACATATTCATTGGATTTTTTAATACAAATACAAGGTTTGAACAAAAGCTACTTGGTTCGGTCGAACTGGCAACAAACACTATGGCTCTGCCCCTGTCAATGATTCTTTTTATTTCTAAAGTCTTGTTCTTTATTGTATGAGAAATGTTTGATGGGTTATTTCTTCAATTTATCATGTGTTAGATATATCTGTTTCTTGTTTTTTTTAAGCAAAGAATGAAAGAAAATACCGTAGTTAGGCATCTTTATGTGTAAAGATCATATCTTTTCAGTTTTTGGTGAATTGGGCAAGTGTTGTAATATAGATTCAGACCCCTTTTTAAATAACTTCCATTTCTTTTTTTCTTTTTAAATTTACATGTTGATTCTATTTGTACCTCAAATTTTGTTCTTGTTTATATGAGAAATGCTTGATGGGTTATTTATTCTATTTATTATCCGTTGGACATGGCTCTTTCTTTTTTGGTATGGCAACGAATGAATGGAAATGCTGTAGCTCGGCACCTTTAAGTGTAGAGGTCATTTCTTTAAGTTATTAGTGCACTGGGTAAATTTTATAGTAGAGACCCTTTAACAAAGAACTTCCAGTTTTTTGGCTTTAGCTGAAAAAGGAGAAAGATCAGCTCTAATTTAACTGGGTTCTTGGTGAGCTGAGGTCTGGGCTTATGCTATAGTAGAGGCATTTTAACAAGTAATTTCAATTTTTTCCCACATCCAATGGATTATATGCAACGGTTATATCCAAGTCTACTAGAGTATTTTGAAGCCCCACTAAATGCTGTGTATCCAAATTCCAAGCTCCTAAACAGCCCTGTCTTTCTTGACTGAGTTGTTGACAGTATACAGTTGCCAACTTTATTTTGGCTGATTGGTAATCCTGTGATAGGGAGGTTTGAGGTTTTAGAACTTGGAATCTGTTCTGACCTTTTTGGGGCGTGTCTGAAGAACCATTTTGATTTTGTGATGCCATCAGTGACAGATTCTTTATTAACTACTTTGTCATATCATCACTCTCAGCACATTTGTCTCTGTTAGAAATGATATCAGTAGTATTTGACTCTGATGATTTCAATCTGAAAAATAGTGAGGTCGACATTAATGACTAGATTGAATGTTAGCAATGTATTTAATATATTGACATTGCATCTGATGCATGTATTTATTTACTTGTAGGTGCTGTTTATGGGACTTATGAGGCTATTAGATACAGGGTAAAGTTCTTTCTCTCTCTCTCTCTGATCCGATGATAACAAATTACTATTAGGGCCTTTGTTATGTCATTGTTGAATTTATAACAGTATAGAAATAGCTATATGCATTGCAGTATATGCGCAGTGATCAGCTAGCTTGCGCTTTGGGTGTCTGATCTCAATGCCTGGTGTTGTTTAGCAAACACATTACAAAGTGTTACTGATCTAGAGTATGCAAAGTTCTCGTCATCTTACCCTTTTCCATCCAAAGTTCATCTTTATTGACCAATGTGTTAGTCAGTTTGAATTATAAGTTTAACTTTCTCTTTGGACATAAGCCTCATTCTTATCTAATATCATCTTATAAGCAACTTATAATTGGCAATGGCAGATAAGTAGACGATGACAGAGATGGATCTTTTAGAATTTATGATTAAGATGCTGAAATATGACAAGTAAAAGCATACAGACTTGTAATCTTTGTTTTATTGGCATCCGTTGGTAATTTCCTCTGATGTTAGTTCATTTCTGGAAAGTTGGCAAGATTTAACACATTACAGAAAGATCAGAAGGATCTGGTAAATGAGAGAGAGGTCCGTTATGAACATTTTAGCGAGCATAAAGTTACTGTCACAGTATAGAGGAAAAAAACACTGATTTCGTTCCATCTGCCTAAGCTTTGGAGGGAAAACTATTTGATGCTTATGGTGGTGGGAAGTAACAGGTACTCGGTGGAATAGTCGAGGTGCACATGAATTGGCCCATATTGCCATTTTGGAAAAAAGTTTAAGACTTATTATTGTGGAGAATGTGATTCGAAAGTGTTGCTGCTAAATGCAATTTGCTTCGATGTATTAGCCTAATGATACCAGTTAACTTTAATGGAAATTGCAGGTGCCTGGCCTTATGAAAATCAGATACATAGGACAAACTACTTTGGGCAGTGCAGCCATTTTTGGTCTCTTCTTGGGTGCTGGAAGCTTGATACACTGTGGAAAGTCTTACTAAGCATATCTTTGCTAGCTGCAGTTAAAATTTCTGATTATCCGAGTCGTTATCAGACTAGTGTGCCTGTGCAATTCCAATATTTTTTTTGTGTATTTCAGTTAAGTGATGATGTTTAAGTTGGTGATTCATAATCGAGCTTTTCTCTAACATTTCAGCTGCAGTTTATGGCTCAGTTGGTAGGCTATGGGGTTACCTCGTTCCGCTTTTTCCGTCATGTAACAATAAACATCAAAAAGATAACAAGGTAAAGAGAAGGGAAAAAGTTTTATAGCGCGTTGGAATGGTAACTCCAGATTTGCAGTTTGATACATTTTCATTGTGTGCACAGATATAGGTAAAACCTTGTATGCAATGGTGCACAGATATAGATTCATTCTTCGTACTTGTTCCAGCTTCACAACCCTTTGTGGGTTGGTAAGAAGTTAAGTCTACGACGCGTAGTGAGGTCCTGAGCTAAGCCGTGGCTAAACCTTGAATGAGTAATGCCATAATGTTTTGTTTCCTTTTAAATGATTATTGACATATGTTAAGAGAGCAGCGTAGACGTTCACATTTTAACTTTGCTTAAATTTGCGTTTTTCATCTACTCAAGCGCCAACCCCTTTAACGCTTACGGAGATTACTTCTACTAAAAGTGAACTTTTTAGATATGAATTAAATATCGATGAAGTTCATATCATCCACTTAAAAATGGTCAACTAATGGATTTAACTTTTACGTTTGTAAAGACTCGAATTGGTAATTTATCAAGTTTGGAAGAGTAAGAATTATCTGAAAGATGATCTTCCATCACATTCAAGAAGCCATAAATAATATGGATATCCATAGTATCCCCTGATTAACCCATTTTTTATCCAGGTTAGATATTTTATCCATTTTTGTATTATCTATTTTCGACCCGCTCATATCGGACCTGATCCCCTTGTTTGCCACCCAACTGTGATCCGAATTGCGAGTTGTGTCCTGAGTTGCAACTTCTTTATAGCGAAAATGTCACCGCATGGACTGGTAAGTTTCTCTCTTTATGTGAAACAAAATTTGCACGCATATTATCTTTCTCCCAAACATAATTTGCAGGTCTGAATCTCCTCAAGATTGTCCTTTGTTTGCTTAATAAAATAGTCACCTCTAGGTTTTATTAATAGGAAAACATCATCCTGCCACTTAACATACACGAGTTACTACATAGTACTAGTTACTTTTGGACGAACAGTAGCATTGCCATACAACCAGTACAATTAAAAGCCATCGTTTCGTTGCTTAAAACGACGAAGCGATGAGAAGCTAGGGGTTGTCGCTTCATGGGTGAAGCCTGTGCTTCAAACAATGATGCGCAGAGTGATTCAAACAAGCAGCAGTCAGTTTGCATTTACAAAATATTGAACAAATCAGTATCCCGTGGAATTAGTGGAGGTGCGTGCAAGCTGCACCGGACATCAAGGTTATCCAAAAAATAAATAAATTACTGAACAAATCTGCAAGCTTCAACAAGTTGAGAGGAAGAGAGACAAACAAGTACTAAGTAATTGTATAACCAGAACCACTTGCAGCAAAAATGGAAATGTAGAAAGAGGGTTGGGATTTGAAACCAGAAGATGCATTTACTTGAGAAATTTACAAGGAAGCTACTCTCAATAAGAGCAAGCAGTTAAAACTTTACATCTCTCACCCTCAATTCCCCACAAACACCATTATGGAGGGGAAAAATGGAAAAAAAAAAGAAGAAGGAAAAATAACAGGTCAAGCCATAAGAAGATAAAGAAAAATCTAATGAAAACTTAGAAGCAAACCTCTACTCCTAGTTCTTTTTTATGACAACCCCCGATACCACCCCACAGATTTGAGAAGCCAAACTAAGCGATGAATATGATCTTCCCCGTAAAGCAGAGATTTTCCGACAGGGAAGAAGAAAAAGAAGAGGTCAAGAAAAGAAAAAATCACTTACAAATTTATTAGCATGTTTCAATGTGGTAAGTCCTCGCTTACACTGCCAACACTTGACTTGTCCCCCATGCGGACGTTATATTGCTCATAAACTCTTGCGCGGTTCTCTGCCCACCACTGTTCAGCTTGTTTCTCGCTAAATCGTTTTCGACTGCATTTAGGACACATCAGTCTTTTGATTCCAATGGAGAAGTGGCTATATGCAACTTAAAGCATTCACACAAAGAATGTCATCGTAATCAACCCATCAAATGTTTAAAAGCACACAAACACAACATTTTTTTTTTGTAGGACTGAATGCATTCTACTTAGTTGGATTAATATCACTCTGATCCTAAATAATTTCCATTTTAAGGAAAATTAGGGATCATCTAGCCATTCCTAACGAGGATATTTTTCTCATTTCTACTAAAGAGAGATGGATCACTTTAACAGAGAGAGCATGGCCAGGCTCAAACCATATTCCTTGAAATGTGCTCAGAGAAATTGAAAAAGTAATTACCCGCAGAAATAACAAATGAATAATTACCGGAGATCATTTATTTTGACAAGAATAATGCAGAGGATTAATTCCATCAAATTTAATGACCTTAAGCCATAGTTAACGTACCTGAAGCGAACACGTTTAAGATCTTTGACACCTCCAGGTAGGGAGGTAAGTGTAATATATACACCTGGTTCATCTTGTTCGACCCATTCATTCTCATTACGAGAATCACCTTCTTTTGTTCTGGCCCCATTTCTTGGGGTTGGTTCTGGAAACCCTTGCCTGTTTTGAACAGCATTGCGATTACTGGCATTGCTTGATCCGTTAGAAAGTAGTTGGCTGTTAGATACATTTGACTCCACATCTTGGAAAGTTAGTTGACTATGAACTCGGTCAATACAGCCATTTGGCATATCACCAGTGGTAAGATTGGAAGCCAAGGAAAAAGATGTAGGAGATTTGATGTTCCGGGAAGCACCTACTGGTAACCTCTCAGCCATCTCCTTCAGCTATGAAAGATAAAGATGACAAAACAGATTATCAGCAAAAGAAGCTAATGAAAGGCAGGTCAACTGAAAATTATGTTTTCAATAACTTTACAAATCATCTCTATCTTCAATAGAAGGGCAACAAAAATACTACACTAAAAGGATATTGATGAACAATCGCACATAATCTGACCACTAGGGAAAACAAGCTAAACTATGATAAGCTTGAACTGTTAAAACAAATCCAAAAAAAAAATGAACGGCAAATTATAAAGAAACTTTTTTTTTTCCTTCTGTTGTTTTACAGACTGAGTGCCTTCATCCTTTTACACGCAAGCTATATTCCATGTGAACTTAAAAGGTTAACTGCCAATAGAAAAAGTAGAATTGCAATTTTATCACATATAAAATTTGGGTCCACTTAACTTTTGCAGGTATACAAAAAATGTTGGAACTCGGATTTCATGAAGCTGGACATTGGTACGAAAGAAATCCCAATAGTTTTGGGAGAGAAATAAATGATATTCTATTTGAAAAGGATGAAGTAGATTGTTGATCGAATACGATTGTTGAACCAAAATCACATGCAATTACTTTGACATAACAAAAAGACAACTCCAAGATGCATATTCGAGAAATGCCATAAGATTGTAGTCATTCAAGATGTACAAAAACTTATGACCTAAAGACACAAAAGAAAAAGTATGCATTATTAAGTGTTTTAGCACAACTGATAACACAATGACAAAAGAAAGTGCACACTCGCATCTAGACCAAAACAGAGAAATACTCTGAGTAATGACAACCACATACTTCGTTGGACAGAAATTAATTTGTGTCTATATCAAACGACTGCATAAATGTCATACACCTATATGTATATGTATCTAAATGTTGTTAGACCATCTTACTTGAAAGACTGTTTAATAAATTAAGCAGTAATAATTTAGTACAGTAAATGAAAGCTTTATTCTCCTATTCCAGCATTAAATTTTTAAGTGGAACACATTCTTATTTATAAGAGTTGCCCCATTTCATTAACTCAAAACAGAAAAAATTTGCGCTGAGAAACATTTCATCATGAGCGCGCGCAACTTTTTGACATAAAAACTAAAGCAGCTTACCTGAGCAGTAAGTGACTTGATAACTTCTTTTGCTGCTTTGCATTTGGCAGTCTCTTCTCCAGCAATGGCTATTGCCTCCTTTAGCTGCTTACCAGATCTTTCCAGTTCTATCTCTTGAAGTTGAGCCTTCCGCGTGAGATTTTCCACCTATGATGAAGATCGTTCAACACAGTGCTTTTTTTAATGAATAATACATCCATTTGATTTGGATGATTCAATTTAAAAAAAAATCGTGATGCTTAAATACATACAAACAATTTAGATCCTAGTCTCACTCTTATATGAGAATGACATTATAGATAAGATGTAACACAGCATTTAAAAAAGGATGCCTGAAATGGAAAGTGCGATAATGCCATGGACAAAAAGATAACTAAAAGGTGAACAGTAAGTTTTATAGGATGGTTGAGACATGCATATTATCTAGGAGTAAATATTGAGGCTTAAAGCCCAACATATCCATGGATGAATGCCATAAGTATGCAAGATATTAAGATGAATACGGACAAGAATATGCAAGATATTAGGCTGAATATGGACAAGAATACAAAAATTCATCTTTATTTAAAAAAAAGAAAGAGAAGATTAGAAATGATCATATCCAACCGAAGGGGTAACTAGCACAATTGAAGGACCAAATGGGAAAAAAGGTCCCCACACCGCTGATTTGCCTAAAGAGGCAAATTCTCCGGTATTGGAATGTAATAAATTAGAATAGAACAAAATGGATATAGAAGATTCACTAGCCGACTCCACTTGGATTTGGATTTACATGAAGATGATTGGTTGATATTTATCCGAACCTAAAATCTTTACATACGAGATGTACTTAAGCAAAACTGGAGAACATCATAAAGTACATGGTTCTATACAAAAGGGTATCTGATCGGGAGATTAAAATCGGTCAAAATAGGAGATCATTGATGGACTATAATTCACAACTTTCCAGCAGGCTTACATTTTTAGTGTAACCAATTGCATTTTATATGGGGATAAGCCTTGATCTGGTAGATGACTCAATTATTCCCTTCTTGCCCCCTCTGCCTATTCCTCCCAGAACACACAAAAAGACAAAGAGGAACGCAGAAAGGCAAAAAAGAAACAAAGGTCTAGTGTCTATCTTTACTACTCTAACACATGTCAATAGACCTTTTTTAATCTTTCATAAGTGCATTCCATTTTGGATAGACTTGTAAATAGAATTCATTTAAAAACTTCAGTATCTCCTTATATTCATTATTTGACCTTTTTAATTAATACGAAAACTTCATTATTTAGACATCATGCACCTATTATCATTCTTAAAGCAAAATTAATTACATTCTTACATGGTGTTGGCCTAGAGACCCTAACTTTTCTTTTTCTGGAGTTCCTATTCTTGTTCTTTTTTCCAAGCTAAAAGATTAAATAAATAACTCAGTTTCGTAGTGACACGATGTTGGCCCCAAGACCCCAAATTTGCTTCCCGTGGAGATCCCTTTTCGTTCTTTCTTTGAAAAAGTAAAAATAAGGTAAAATATTAAGTCAAAATTAACGTGAGTATTTTCCTTCCAAAGCAAAGCCAAACATCCATTGATAAACCCATCCTTCCACAACTTAAAAAGGCAAAAAAACTTCACCATTTCATTTTACAGTGACATAATAAAAATAGTAAAAACTAATTTTGATTGTTATAGAGCTAATAAACTTACTTTCAAAGTTTTTAAGTTTTTTTTCCCGATTTCCACAAGAAGCATTTCAAAATATACACTTCCTCGCCTTTCTAAATCTTTGAATTAATTTTGTACGAATTATCATGGGATATACATGCAGCGCACGTAAATAAAGACTAGTAGAATAAAATGCATATCTATTACATTGTAAATGATGTGCTTGAGAAATCATATTAAGATCTTGATGCAAGATATTGCACCTTTTTCCGTTTCGGAATAGGAAAGAGACAGGCTTTCTTTACTTAAACTTTTTTGTATTCTAATATATACAGGCATGAGAGACACTTTCTTTTATGTCTTTTTTAGTTTACTATTTTTGTTTTTTGGATAGCGAGTTTCTTTTTTAGTTTAATTACTCTTGGGATGAGATATATTTCTTTAAAATAAGCAAATGAATGAGAGACATGTTTCCGCACAAGCTAACGAATTGGCTTTACTTACTTTTTTTGGGTAGGTAAGATCTTTTATTGAACTCGTACCAAGATGGTACAGAAACAGGTATATATTGGGTTTAATTACTGTATTCGACCATTCTTCACCACAACTGGCATTTACCAAATAAAGCTACTTGCCCAAATACAAGGATCTGAAGTATGTTTTTCTAACTCCTTTTTTTTTGTCCTCTCACTACTACAATCACAAGTCCTAAAAGGTAGTTTCTATGATAGCGTTACTCTTTAAGGTCAAGTTGATCTGCGCAATACACGTTGCATTGATGTAAAAGAACCATGGATCCGCTGTTGGGCAAGGATGCCACAGAGATGCACTTATAGGCATCTTTGGGAAATGATAGGATGCCAGATGCCGATGGATAATCTTAGTTGTTCTATGATTTTACAGAGAAGACAAGCCTTGACAGCAACTTAAGTTTCACGTTCAAATGTAGATACTACTTCTATGCAGGTGTGAACTTCTAAAAGGTAATCCTCCACAATCTACAATGAAGCAGACTAGTAGAGTCATTATTAAGAGTGAAGAGATTCCCACATTCAGCCATGCACTCTTGCAAATAACGATCTATTTTAATCTCTAGATGGATTGCAATTTTGATCAGTTGATTGTCCTTTAGGTTAGGTTTTTAGCCTGTCAGATACAATGAACAGGGAAAAGCAGCAACCAGGGGATCATTCCACAAGATAGTGCCTAAAAGAAGATACATCAGTGACCTGGAGGCGCAAAAGATTGTTAAAAATTCAGTACAAGATGACATATTACTAATAATTCTCTGATTTTACCTCTCAAATAAATTCTCTGATTCACTGTCCATTTAGTTACACTATCATGTCTTATGACACCTCTAATGAACCGACCAATAAAGTAATACTTCTTATAAACTTGGATGAAGTTTCTCAGCATTGTACGATAGACATGCATAACCATTTATCTTTGACCACAAGTACTAAAACAGTATCTGAAAAGTTATCTCAAGCCCAGCAGACAGCCGGATGCTATGAATATGGTGTTCTCTAGAAACTCTAGAGGATTTCTTGCCCCACATCTCATGTTTGACACTTCACATTACAGAAAGTGTCCAAAAATTCTTAGAATCATAGAGAAGCTTAAATCTTTGTTTTTGAACTCACATCAGCAACACGGATAATATGTGGAGCAAACTGAGGAAAATGCGTCACAAGTAGATGACTGCTCCTTACACAAATACAAATGACATACCTGTGCTCTTAATTTGATAACCTCTTGGCTAAGGCCATCATTTGTCCTTTTAGCATCGTCCAAAACAATCTTTGGAGATGTGAATCCACCCAATGTTGGAGTTGGCGTAGTAGAACGAGGTGGACTGGGCCGTCTAGATATTGGTGATGTTGCTCGAGAAACAATTCTTGATCCAGGAACTGAAGCTGAAAAGAATTTCTTCGACGAGCCAAATACTGGATTAAAAGACTTGGAAATGTTGAGAGCTCCCCACTGAGAGGTACCATTTGGAATAGGTGACACACGGCTGCTGTTAAATTCAAGTTTTTTCTTCTGTTTGGAAGAACGGTTTTCTACTTGTTTGAAGGATTCCATTGAAGAAAATCTAGCTAGTTGAGGTCGAGACCTTGTTTCCGACTTAGTGTCCTTGTCTGTTATATCAGTTGATGCCTGATGCATGCTTCCTCGTCGACTCATAGAAGACTGAGAAGAAGCATCGGTTTCAATAGCTTTTTTCAATTTACTGAAGCAATTGTCACAGACACGATAGGGTTTATTGGGATTCGGTGCCATTGATGCCCTCAGTGATTTCTTGCTGCTACATGAATGACAAAAGACAAGCCCACAG